GCCACATGAGATGTCCACTCTGCCTTCTCCCTCTGCAGCCACGTCCAAGTTTGCAGACATACACACAGAATCCTTTGGATCCCACATCCTTTTTGCATGTGTATCCCAGTTTCCGTGAACCTGGATGTGTTAAACGTGCTTCCACTTGAAGGAAGTAAAATGGGTGTGTCTGTTTCTCCTTGAAAATAAGAGAAATATTTCTAGTAGATAATCTAAAAGAAAGCTTGTGAAATATAAAATGGCCTACTATGGTCAATATTAAACAAATATAATCAGAATACTGAATCTGGTACTAATCAGAGTTATTTTGTGTTTAGAAAGACCGCACGTGTCTGCATTATGCTGTGAGGAAACGGTTTACCTTTCTTGACTATGTGCTCATCATAATCCTCATGCCAGTTATGCTTATTGGATATCTTCTCATGGTGAGTCTGGATGAAAGCAGGGAAGTCCCCATTCCTTTCCCTTTCCCCTTGTCACTTTTCTCCTGGCAGTATTTCAAGCCAGGAACCTGTATAGAATATGGACTGCTGTTTTTAAAGCGAGGACTGGAAAGCAACAGAAGAAGCAGGGGTTTTGCTGTGAATATAGCTAGTGATGGTACAGAATTGTATCACTGCATCAGTCTGGCACTTATAGAAGCCAGACACTCTCCACACAATACTGGAGAAAACCCCAGTATTTAGCCCAAATCTACTTAGTACTATATGCAGATGAACTGTCTTACTATGTTCCTCTCTCTTATACCAAACAGATCTCAAAGACTAAACAGAATGAAAACCTGATCAAGATGTTGCTTAGAGCTGGAGTGGATGTCAATGCTACAGACTTTGTAAGTGGGTTTATACAAATGCAAATTTGTGATTTGTATGCATGCAACAATATTAAAACCAGACTTCAGAATCTGCTAGCAGCGTAGTGCTGCTTTCAGAGTAGGATCAGGGACTGAACTGACTGTGATGCAGCAGGACTCCTCTGTTTCCTCTTGACACTTAGGCACTAGTTTTGTAATGTATACGAAATTACTCTCCACTCATCAACTAATTTTCCCTTTCTGACCAATGCCATCTTAAGAGAATCCAGGCAAGCAAGACTGAGATAATTATGTATTAAATGTCTGATCCTATAAAGATTCTGGTGATCTAAGGGTCTGAGTTTATCATCACTTAGAGTTTTTTGGTCTGGAGCAGATTTGGGCAAAGGTCGTGTCACAGTGCTGGACCCCATGTCTTCTCTTGATCTTCAGAGTGCTCTGATCTGCCATGTGTAGAGTTCTGTATCCACCGATGCACTTGGGTGTGGTAAAGAGCTCCTCTACTCCTAAAGTGGAAAAGGACAACCCCCAATTTTAGCAGCAGCCAAATTCTAAATCACTGAAGGGTGACCAAACAGTATTGCTTAAGACACAGTTGTTGAGATCAAGATCATGGAATCCTCTGAAATTGGTAAAGTTACTCTGCTGAAGGAATTGGACCTGTTTTAGCTGCTGCATCCCAGGGAAGAAATTACTTTTTTTTGTTCCTGTTGCTGTTATGAGAATGTATTTATTTTACTGTGTAGTGTAGTGAGACAGGAAATGATGTGTCTTGCATCCAGCTGTTAGGGGAAAACTGATAATGCTGCAGGTAGCTGTACTTGTCGAAGGTTTACTAAAGAAGTAATAGAACAAAAATTCATCTGCTTCTGTTTCCCTTCAGTCTGGTAACACAGCCCTTCACTATGCTTGTGAAATGAAAAACCAGGCAGTCATTCCTCTGCTGCTTGAAGCTCATGCAGACACTTCTGTAAAGAATCAGGTAAGAAGGTGAAGTTGATAACTGTATTTCCTTATCATGATGGTGAACCAGTACATTGTAGGCCTTAGCCGGTGTGCAGCAGTTTAAAAAAAAAAAAAGTGCACAGATTCCTGGCAGCAGACTTGTTTGCTGTATGGTATAAAGCAACCTTTGCTCTTGCCTTTGTTGGCAAGAGCAATTTTAAAGTCCAAATCCTCCACTGCTGGATTTCTAACAGCAAACACTGCCTACATGTCCAGCGGGTCACTTAGCTATCTTTACGGTACCTCTTCTTAATTCAGAGCTGCTCTACAGTTGTTCCTAAAATGCAGGCTGCAGGGGAGTGGTAAGAGCCTTCCTAGGTGGTTTTTGTGCCACTGGACACCTTTCTTCTGAGAGGAGCTAAATCAAGCTGCTTCTGTCATCAGAAAAGCTCCGATGTTGTCCAAATAAATATTGACCTGGGAGGACCTGCATTACTGAGTTGAGGTGAGCAATGTGTTGCCCGTGTTGCTCCTGAAATCAGCTCTTAGCGTAGTTCTGCACTGACGTTGGACATTAGCACCAGGAAACAGTGCAATGGCTGTCACTACTGGAGGGGAGGGGAGGACTCTGCCCCCGGCTTCAGTGAGAGTAGTATTGGACCCAGCATGTTCTGAAACCTTTGTTTTAAAGCAAGGATGTGACAGTGAAACTTATGCAGGAGAGCACTGCATCTGGGTGACAAATTTGGGAAAGCTCTTTGTACTTGACTCATCTGTTATATTGCAATGTATTTCATCTGCTTCTTTCAGGATGGGGAGACTCCCTTAGATATAGCAAGAAGACTGCAGTTTGACAACATTGAAAGCATGCTAAGGAAAACTTCCTAGTCGTCAGGGACTCTTGAACATGCAGAAAATTACCTCATCTGGCAATCCATCTTGCACAGCAGCAGGAGCCCTGCAGAGGGTTGAGGGCTGTTCCTTGATAAAGACTTGGTGCAAATCCACCCATTCCTTGCTGCAGACTTTGGCTATTTTGTGTGAGACTTCTCAGAACTCCCAAGGAGCTGAAAAGAGTTCACTCAATTTTACCAAACCAAGACTGATTACAGTAGTGTTCAACATATTGCCTTTCCCATCTAGTTCCACAGTTTCATTACTTCACTTGTGCAGACTGTGGATTTTGAAAGGTAGCTATAATATTTCTGGAAGCCTAAACATTGCACGTGATGGTTGGCAGCCACTGCAAAAATAAAATATCCTTAGTGTGTGTGTTACTTGTTCTGTAGGGGATATGCTTGACAACTGAACAACATGCCACAGCAGTTTATATAAAGTCTGGCACTCTTCCTCTTCTTATTTCTCTTCCTACAATGGGAGGGACTGGGAAAATAGATCTCTCAGCTTTGCCCTTCTTTCCATTCCTGCTACAAGTTTTACACACCTTAATTCTTACTATGTTGCTACAAGGGAAGGATTATCTTCTCTTTTTGCTGTTTCTTACATAAAAAAAAAAAAGATTCAATGAGTTGCTGGAGACCACAAAGCAAGCCAATTCCCAGGTTACTTTAATGCATTAAGAAATAATAACGAAAGTATGTTTGGCATGGTAGAGAAACAGGTTTCTTGACTACCTTTCCAATATAAACAGTGTACTAAAGAAAAAAATAAATGAAATGCTGTTGATGGCAACCAGATGTATCCTTCCCAATGGGACTGGACAGAATAACATGCTTTTCAGAGTGGTGCATGCAGCAGAGGATGCATATACTGAAATAATAAATTCATGAGTCTTCTCTTGCGTAGGTAAAAGCAGAAGAGAACCTGCAGTGGTAAGCAATGTATTAATTGGCACTCTGTGATTTAATAATGCAGCAATAAAGGGGAATCTCCTTTCGAATGCTGCTGTATCTTGCTTTCTTGGTCTAATGGATCTTTATTTTTGTTGACAGTTTTGGCCATTTCCTGTAAGCTGTCATAAGTTCAGAAGATAGATGCCATGATGAGCACTGCTAATAGCTGCTAGACTAGGTGCATGGACAAGCTAGTGTATTTTTCCTGTGTTGCAGAACACATTTTTTTTCAGCCTAACTATTCTATTGGATGCTGGCTCCAAGTACAGAGGATCTTGGTTGGGCAGTATGAGCTTGACCCCCCACCAAGAAACAGCCCAGGAAACAAAAGCTCCACTGTCTGAGCCTGTAGTAATGAACACTAGGTGTAACCTGGGGACAGACACTCTTACCTGTGAGATCAACTTGTAGGTGAGTAGATGTGAGGCACTTGCACGGATAAAGAAGATGCTACCTCTTTGGTCTAATGGCCAGAAAGGGAAAACAGCTGACTGCTTTCCCATGCTGTAGAAATTGCCTGAACAAAGAATGGTCAAGACACAAAGTTATGCAAAAATCCAAGCCAACAGCTCAGAGTGCTTGCAACAACTTCATTGCCAGTGTCAAGAAAAATTCATGGGTTAGAAGCTGTATTGCTTGGAATGCAGCTTGCCTGATAGGTCTATATCTTCTCATTCCTCTGTTGCCATCCATGGTATTTGAAGTTGGGGGATTTAAAGTGAATGAACAAACCTTTGGGTGATGTGTAAGTATGGAGGGCAGGAGAATACTCCAATGTGTTTTTCTGAATTTAGATTCCATGATGTTTGGAAGCCACCTATTGCTTACCCAGTTTCTTGTGTCTGAAGAACTCTTGGTTGTGTTGGCACCATAGGTAAATATACGGAGATAAAAAGCAAAAAAAAAAAAAAAGCCAACTTCTCTGTCATGTGGATAAAATATTTAATTTAAACAAAGGTCAGCTGTACTTCAACAGAGAAATGAGCAAATGCCACTTCTGAGTCTTCATGGGAAGACACAAATTGGGCATGGGAATACTTCTGTGGGGGATGTAAAGTATACATGAGAACAACAGAGTTTAGGCTTAGGAAAATCAGTCTTGTGGAAAAAAGAGCTGTGGGGGGATCCCTGCAGTGTGTGCTCAAATACTTTCATGTTTTCAGCTTTCATTTGTATACACCTCAAACTTCTCAGAAAGACAGCAGTCACAGTAACACCATGGAAAACCTCAAATGATGAGGAAATCAAACAAAAAAGTGCAGATCAATACCTGTACTGGTAACCATTATGTGTGTCTGTGTGTTTACCTCTTCCCCAGATATCATCCTTATTGCAAAATAGAAATTTTGGAGGTTTTTACTGAGTGAATTAATACTCTACATGTGGTTTCAAAAGTATTTTGTCATTAATTCAATGATTTTCTGATACATTCTCTCAGTTGCATCAAGGCCCCAGATGAAATCAAGATGTCCCCAAGCAGGAAAATGCTCATGGTAAATGAGATTAGTAATCCGAGGAAGTAGCTTTGCCATGTCTTTTGGATCTGCAAATTTGTCATGTCCACCACTCCAAACAGCAATTGGTATGTTTATCTTCTCGATCTGGTACACAGGAGGAGTAGGCTGTAAGAAAAGGAGGAGACCTGAGTGAAAGCTGTTGTATCAGAAGCTGTATTTAGAGAACGGATTCTGTGCAAGCATCTCTCTTTGCCTTCTGCACTCACTACAGTAAAACAGTAAGGCCGGAGGTCCCCCTCGTAGTGTCTACTGCGCTAATGCCTTTCCCTGTCTACCGTGAAAGGGAACGATCCATCCTATTCCTGTGTCTTTCCTTAATGCATGGCTATGGGTTGTCCTGCAGTTCACACCTACTCGTGCTCTTTGGAGGTGGGAATATGGAAAGAGCAGTGTCTGTGTTTATCAGGCAAGGACGGTGGAGCTTTTTCATGTGTATATTTAAGGTGGGAAGATGCAAGGAACTGTCTATGCCTTGTCTGTGAATAGACTTCTACACATATGGGTATTAGACTCAGGTGAAACATCCCTGCAGACCACTCTACCCTCTTTAGCACTCGCAGGTGCTAAAATCTGAATTTTTCTATTCTTAGTTTTGCCAGGAGCCAAAGATGAATTCTCAGGGAAACCGTATTGCCTTACCTGGTTGTATTTCTTCATGTTTTCCTTAAAGCCATAGTCATAAGCTTGAAATTGGCCTGTATGTTTCAGCTGTTAAAAAAACAGATAAATAGTAAGTGTTGAGAGACCAAGAAGCAGAGTGCAGGAGGTGTTTTTCTGCCTGCGATTGAAGCCCAAGCTCAGGCAGTGGACTGTGGGTTACTCCCACCTCTTCCTCTGGTTGCAGGCTTCCAGGGGTACTGAGGATGGATTGTAGGATGAGTGACTTTGTCACCTTTTCTCTTGTTAACTTTCTCTCCTGATCCTCAGCCACCACCCTTGGTATGTTTTGTTACTGAAACTTTAAGTCGGGGTCTCTGTTTGTGATGCAGAGTTGGGCTCAGTTTTCATGTGGAAAGAGGACCTGAATGTCTAGAACATGTCAGGGCTGTTACTAATCTGGTGTAATATAAGATCTCTCCTTATGCATCTTCTTTTGAGTGTCAGTTTTGTCTGGTCTGCTCACAGTATTGGCGACATTTCCAGAGGCTCTGTACTCACAAGAATTCGGCTATCCATGAGTTGTGCTCTGACAGCGGTTTTGAGGTGGGACATTAGACACAAGACATTAACCTTCTTGCATCTGTGTTGTCTGAAAGACATGACATATGCCCTGCAGGACTGATGAGTGAAGAGTTAAGTATGAATCTGTTTGGGTTTCTTTGTCATTTTATTTTTTGCCTGACAAGGAAATTCATTTGAGAGTGGTTGTATGTAATACAGGGTCAGAGAAAGTCACTGTCTGTCAGTTTAGAAAACCTTGACTTCAAGGGTTCAAGTAGCTGGGGATGTGCTAAAAGTCTGCTTGCTCTATTGCCTTTGCTATTTTCTTCTATCCTGCTCTATCTGTGTTTGCTTTGTAGCCTCTTCACTTTGTGAGAGGCTGGCAAAATAGGCTGTAAAGCCACTGGCTGTCAACAGTCTGTGCTCATTTCCTGGCTCTGGGTAGGTGTATCCTGTGGGAATGACTGCTGGGAATTTTTGTCAGGGGTGTCCTCAGGAGCATACCTATATTCTAGACCATATTAAGTGTTTGCAGAAATGAGTTGTGTGCCTATATGATGTATGCAGGTATATCCTGGCTCAGCAGGGGCACCTGGACACATGCAGTGCTGTACTTCTTGGCTGGAGTTGTCTTGCCCTGGTCTAGTTCAGAGCATGAGCAGAGCAAGCTCAGATCTGCCAGTGCATAAATAGAAACCCATCTTTGGAGAACTGGAATCCAGGATCGGGACAGTGGCAAGAGAGAATAAAAGGGTTTTTGAAAAAAAATGTCTATTGGGAACATCCCTGTAGAGCAGTGTTGCTTGGCATGTACTGTAGCAGTATAAGGCAGTCCCCCACTTTGCCATTGTGCCAGCAGAAGCATTTGTGTGGTTAACTGGCCTTGGGAGGTGATCCAGGCTGCAATTAGCCCTCTGGAAGAAAAGCTTTAATCTGGATCCCTTCTTTGTTTGGATCATCCCCTGGCTGCTCAAGTTTCCACTATCCTCCTACTGCCTGCCAAGTGCCTAGACTGTGCTCGAGTTCACTTCTGCAGCTCTCAAGCCAAATGTCTTCATAAATAAAGATGAAGGCTGGAAGCCATTAGAGCCCAATGAGCAGACAGCCCTGATGTGCCCTGGGGAAATCTCAGTGCCTGATACCAAAGGGGCAATTCAGGGAACGGTCTGGTGAGCCACAGGAAACAGTGCTCCCTCTGTGGCAGATGCTCACGGTAGCACACGAGAAGATGCGATGGTTTCCCAGATCTACCACCTCTGGACTTCCCTGGAGGCTGTTGGTTGCATAAAAAGCAGTATTAAGAGTCTGTTTATACATCAGTACACACTTATACCTGTTGCCAATGAATAATGTTCTGTACGGATGATCCAGCAGGGGAATGTCCTACGTATGTATCTATGCGACTCTGGAGAGAAAGCAGAAGCGTTATAGCGCTGTGAGAGAACAAAGCTGTGAAGGACCTGAGCAACATACTGCTGCTGTGTTAAAACCCCTTTTTAATAGCATAGTCGGTAAATACCAGACAGAAAACTGAGAAGCAGACTTAGAAGTAGCTTAATAATACTATGCATCTGCACACTTTCTCCACAGAAGTGACCCTGTTCTGTGAAGACAGTACTACTGTGGGACCCTGTGGTTCAACAACAGTAGGGAAAAACCTCCCAGTCTTTTCAAAGTAGATTCCTCACCTCACACCAAACCCCCATACATATGTAAGTCTTTTTAAGATTTGTTTTTCTCTTCACTTTACTCCTAGTGCTAAAAAAGCCAGCTTACAAAACAGATTGCTTTTTCCTCTGTTTGCATTTTTATAGTTCTGTTAAGGAGATGTTCTGATTCCATCTCCCTGGGTTCCTCCTCAGACTTGTTATCTTGCCCTGAGAGCCACATTAGTGACTTAACCCAAGTCAGGAAAGATTCTTAATGGTTTAGCACTGCAATGCCTTTAATTGCTTTTGCAATGAACCTTTGATTCTCACTGCTTTCCCATATGTGCTTTTACAAGTGGTTATAGATGGAGAAAAATGGGCCCCGGTCTTTGTTACAGATATTGCAGTAATAAACATTATGCAGGCCAGCTTCTGCATACTTTGGCCACTGTAAAGGGGATTTAAGACACACTACAGCTTCCATATGTTGGCAAGCATAGGGACAACTCTCCTGTCTCCTCTGACTGACGCATTGGTCTCTGTGAATCCCGCTGTAGGTTTGTTGCACTCCTCAGGCACAGTGCAAGGACTTTCGGTAGCTCTACATGTTAGGGACGTGGAATATAGTCCCAGACTGAATACGGTCCTTTTTTTCTGGGATCAGAATGTGCCTTGCTGTTGGTCCCATCCATCATTAGCTGTAGTCCCGTTTGGCGCTGTTCGCACCGCACAATGTCCTGGCATTCCCTCAGTCTGCTGAGAACTACGTTGTGGTTTATGTATGTTTACATATGTGACAGTTACTAGATAAGGATAGAGTGTACAACTGTAACTTCCAGGATCACTTTAGTTTTACTTTGAGTAGGTGTTCTTGCATATACTCACTGTGTTCAGATTTTTTATGTCACCTCCAGCTATGTAACAGAGTACGTGGCCACAAAACTTATCCAGGCTTGTACAAAACTGTGTCACAGGTCCTTTCAGAAATCCAATCTGGTGTGCAGCTCCTTTGCAGCCAAGTACTAACTGAGGGAAGGGAAAAGCGCAACACTTCTTTTTCTTGTTATAGGAAACTGTTGCTAATAGCCTAGTCTCCTAACTCTGTATTCAAAGAGTGCTCAAACACTTTGTCCCCCCAGTGCCCCTTTAAAACCCCTTCTTCCCCATAGTGCATTACATATCCTTTGTCCTTCATATTACTGGCATCAATCCTGGAGGAAGCCATCCTTCCACTGCTAGTGTAGTGACCTCAATGCTCACTCATTTCTGAAGTTCCAGAGATTGTCATGGCTGTTATTGCAGCTCTGGTTTAGTTCCTCCTGCATGAGGCCAGCAAAATACTAGTTACCAGTTAGCGTCCTATGACGAGACAGACTTTCACAGGTCTCCTACTTCACTATGACCTGCTGCTTCCAGCCCTATATCTCCAGTATTTTCCCCACAGAGTCTTTTCAAGAGCACTCAATTCATCCCAAGCTCAGAATCAGCATATCACCTGTTTGGGAATGCTTCATCTCAGGTTGAGTGAATGCTGTGAAGGTAAGTCAGGCAATGTACCTCTTAGAAGGAAAAATGACATACCCTGAGCAGTGGTTCAGGAACATTTGTTATCTTAATCAGAGGGCTTGTAGCATGTGAGCATGTGGTTACTGGGCCCAGAGCAGAGAACATTTTCACCCGTTTAGCCAGCTCGGGGTACGTAGAAAACGCTATGAAGCCTGCAAACACAGAAAGAGTTAGTGAAGACATCTTCCACAGACAAAATAAATAAATAAGCAGTAGGTAGCAAACGAGACTAGATTTGCAGCCCGTTGTCTGTTGTCCATGTTTGTGTGTGCTGCGTGTTTTACCTACAGCAAGTGTTGAAGCTAAGTCCTGAAATGAATTTTTATTTGGGAGGCAAAGTTCATTCTAAGGTTTAGAACATGTCTGGACATCGCTTTTATCTGAACAGTTTTTGTAGGTGACATGTCAATGAGGTTTTCATGATAAAATCAATTCTCTCTAAAGTTCACAAAACTTATTAAAAAAAATTAGGTTTTGAGATTGTAGTCTCTAAAGATCTATGTATATTTATGCTTTCATGAAACTGTAGAATAACTAGTTGAAAACTGGGAGCTTTGAGTGTTTTCAACTGATTGTTTACATCAAAGGCAGCTGAAGAAAGCCTAGATGGTTAGTTTGTTTTGCCATGAGGGTCTGTAAATACTCTTATGAGAGGAAAAGAAAGAAAAGGTCTGGCACTGTGACAATGTATGATTTTCCCACATTTCCTTCTCCTTTTTTCTGGCTAGTTTAATGAACTGGCGGTCGCTTATTTCTAATCAATGTCCGTTCATGGATCTTACGGACAAACCATAAACATCAGAAACTCTCAGCTGATGCTAAAAGAAAGTTAGTTTCAGTCAAAGGCCACGTCGTGAGTTAATGCTAAAGGCTGGTACTGAGAAAAAGCATTTTTTTCCTACTTTTCACTCTCTGGCAATGTGTTTATAAACAGTAATGTGGCCAGTTATAAACACTCATGAACTATGCTTTAAATTGTAAGGTTGCCATTAAGTCACATGACTTAGTAATGTTGAGGTTCTTTTCCCTTGTTTTCTGTTATTTGAAATTATGTATTATATCTATTGTTTTATCTTTTTAGCTTTCCTTCCAGTTCATAAGGAAAATAATTGTATGTTTTAATAGAAAAGATGAACTTAATGAAAATTCCCGTTGCTGAGAATTTAAGAAAAAATCCAGTACCCAAAGTACCCAGTAAATAATCACTTTTATGTCTCTAATTATTTTAAAATTTGAACTATATTTGGATCTGCTATTAGATTTCTTTCCTTATTAATGGTAGCCAAAGCTGGTTTTAGAAAAGTTTTGCACTTTTTGCAAATCTCAACTCAGGAGGCACTTTTATGTTTGCTAGCTCTCCACAAACCAGAAGAACAACTGATTCAACGGGCAGACCCGCCTACTGGTCAGATAGGAACAAGAATGGTTGTGAACAGCGAATGTCCTGACATTACCTGATGTTGAGCCTTCAGAGTGACCAACATAGTATACATCCTTCTGTCCAGTTTTATTCATGATGAAGTACAGCTCTGCTGGAATATCGTATTTACCCATTTCATCGAAGCTACAGGGGGGAAACACAAAAACGGAGCGGACAGTTTGGCTATCACGGTGTGAGTTACTGAATATCAGTTTTGTTCACTGCACCAAGCAGGGCCCACTGAAAGGTGAGGTTGCACGCTTTGTCTTGCTTGAGTTGGGGAAGGGTGTAGAGGGACGAGGCTGTCCTACCAGGCTGCCTGATGCCTTGGGCTCTCTGCAGAGGAGGTGCCAGTTTCACCCGTCAGCTGCAGCGCTTGGGGAACCTAATTTAAACAGTGCTTTCACTAGCATGGGTTACAAAACACATTCCTCTCTTGGTTGAATTCAGCTGTGAGAGATCAGAGATTTCTAGATAAGGCTGCTCAGCCTGTTCCAGCTGAGGTTCTTGCTCTCCCTCTCACAGTACTGTCTCCTTTTTCTTCAGCATCCCCTTTCATTTCCCAGTGTCTGAAATCTCTTCCCCAGCCAATACTTCCAACTGTGAGTTGGAAAGCACCCATCTTCATCTGCTTTTTTACTCTCCTTGGTTGGTGCAGACCCTGTTCTGATGCTGGTTTAGGTAAAAACCACCAGGCTGAAGCTATCTAGTCCCCTCGGAGTTTCTGTCTTGAGTAATTCTTCCTCTGCTGAGTACCTGAACTGCCAGAACGCTTTCTGGCTGGGATTAAGCGTCTTGTGTTTTAAAGACCAAGTGTTCCCTCGGCTGTTTCCCATCCAGACGTCATAGCCAGCATCTGCGAGGAGGAAGCCCAAGCTGTTGTTGGGCAGGTTAGAAATCCAGTGGGTAGCATCTCCTAGAAAAGCATGCTGTAGGAAGACTACAGGCTTTTGCCCTGGAAAAGATTAAAGTATTCTTATATTGGAGCAGTAGTTAATGTGTACTTAAGATTGGGGTGCAGAGTTTAGTCTGTGAGAGGTTTTAAATCTTTGCTTCTTCAAGAAGTTCCCAGGAGAACTATGCATAGATATTGCTCTGAGAAACCTGAAGGATTTGTTCCAAGCAAGCAGGAATCGTTTCATGACATTTCATAACCATTTCATGACAGGACTGGCAAATAAAGAATTTGATGACGAGGCCCATCCCCACCTCCTCTTGTACTAGAAATACAGTGCAGGTCCTTATATTGAAACCACCTACCCACAGCTGAAAACTGCTGAATGCAGAATAGTGTATGGAAGACAAAGAATAATTAATCCAAAGAAGCGTATCTATCTACCATTAGGTCTATTCAGTAACCAACTGAGGAGGGCTGAGAGGCCCCTCATCTAATTTTGGTTAAGCTTACTTTGAAAAAAGAGATCCAAATAGGAGGAGACATCCGAAATAAATTACTCTATAATTCTAACAAGGAGTAACAAACATAATAGCAGTATCCTAGATACCACAAATTCCAGCTAGAAATGTTTATTCCATTCAGAAAATGGAATTCAGAAAACTGAAGAAATAGTTTAAGTGCATTTGCTTTTCATTGATGAAGGGAGGTGATTTCTTAATATCCCTGTTCTTCAGAAGGATGGGAATTAATATTCGTATGCCTAACCTGAAGGGCTTGTCAGACTTCTATTTTAAATATAACTTTCCTAGGGTGTTAATGCAAAATGTTCCAAAATCCAGTCTATCAAACTCTCCCCCAGCCCACATGGGGTGGGGGGTGGGGGGGAAGGATATGACAAAATTATTAGAAAAGTCTGAAATAAGGACAGAGACACTGATTGTGTGGACTTCTGATGGATTCAGAATTCAGGCCACTTTCCTGACTAGGTGCTCTTGCTGAGATGGAAAGGTGTGGAACATGTTGTTGCATGTACAAAGGGCAAAGATAGGGCACCCATGTAAGAATTGATTCTTAGACTTTCCGTATGTTCTACAACTGTGTCATACCTGTATTT